GAATGCAAAAAAATAATATTTAAGAGTCAGAACAGAGTTTTTCTTTCTTCAAAATGAAATAGTAGCAATAGCCATATTGCCAATAATAAATAGTTTACAACTAAAATTTCTAAAGCTTAAAACCTATTTTTAATTCAGTATTCCAGTGCATCCTCTTACTGCTCTTACAACTTTAAATAGTTCTGACAAAACCTCACACAATACCATCTGTAAAAAGTAAACTACTTTTTGGGTTTTAGTAATATAATACAGATTGAAGACAAATGCTGTCTCCAGCAACATTAAAGAGAAACACAGTATACTATAAGACAGACCTAACACAAAAAGATGTTTATTTTATTGTGTACTTTGTCCTTTGAGTTCATAATTCATAAACCAAAATTTACTGTGTTCTTACATTAAAGTTTTCCTTCACAAAATCAAAGCAGTATCCTTTCTAAACTAAAAAGGTTTCAGTGGTCTCATAGGTTTCTAGAAGATGAACAATGCTGTCATTATGCAAAAGGGTTTTAAAGGACTATAATGTTATAGCTGTCAGCTATAAAATTTTCGACCCAGCAATGCTGATAAGTTTGCACTGAGGATAAGTGTTCCCAGATAAAAGCATGATTTCATACCTTTGGGCTCAATCTGCTGTTTTCTCTCTATATGAATACCAGACAAAAATGGGCAGGGGGGGGTGGAAATTAAAAAATTGCTCAGGAATACCAAAACAGTTTTTGCAGCTTATTTTTGAAAAAAAAAAAAAAAAAAAAAAAGAAAGAAAGAAATAAATGCAAAAAAACCCAATAAAACAACAATCCATCCCTCAACTCAAAATTCAGTCATTAGTATTTATTATCATATATTTGTTTCTTGTAGTTCCCTAATTGTAACTAAAAGACACATCTTTTCAAATATCCTATTTTTGAGACTGAGCCAAGGAAACCAAGCAAGATAATAGGGAAATGTCAGTCCTGAAGACCAAACTAGTGGTATGCCATAGCATAGAAAATTTCATGGGGGAAAAAATAAATTGTTTTATTTTCACTCTAGACATACTTATTAGGGAAATTTAATCTTTGGCCAATGGGAGGGTCAAGTGCTGGCAGCATTAATCTCTTTTTAAGTTATGTAAGGGAAAAGCTTCTGTTTGTTTCAAGGCAGGATGCTCTTATACTGTTTCTATAGTCAATTCATAGGTATTCTGAGAAAGACAAACTTTCTGAAAGAGAGCACATCTAAAGCAAAACAAAGCCTCCTTTGTTGTACAATGACTGATGTTTCTGCTTGTCTCATGTTTACTGTGTATATGTTAATTCTTTATATCAAAGACACATCTTTTAGACTTGGTTCAGAAGTGTTGGCAAGATGAAAAATACTAGCACAGGCTTTTTCGACAGCTTAGTAACTGCTTAAGATTACTGAACAAAACCCCCACAGTTTCTCAGTCACTTATATAGGGTTATATGAGATGCAGCTACATGGTGTAACCAGACATAACTTCAGACTGCACTTCACCCAGCTTGACTAACTAGTTCTCCTTTTCAAAGGGAAATGCAGAGAAAGATTTTTGAAACTTCAAATGACAGTTCTACAGTACTTCCAGCATTTTACCACTCCCTTCAAAAGTTAGGCCTCATTTTAAGTTACACCAGATTTCTGGTTTTTTTAGTCATCTTGTTTCTATTCATAGAATAATGGTAGTTCCTCTTCCAAATGCAGAGATGCTGCTCTGTCTTTGGTCTCCTAGTGCAGTGTTTCAGGCCTTCTGATGGAAGATGGAAGAGCTCCTGCTTGGTTCTTCACACTTTCACAGCATTTGTGGAGACATAGTCGTGCAACCTTGAGATCAATAGTAGACCTGGCAGCTGGCAGAGAGATTTCAAAGAATTTTAATTGCTCCTTTGAAAGTACCTTGAAACTTCATAACTAGACTGTCTTGGCAGAATCTTTAAAGAACTGCAGTTTTCAGATGTGAAAATATAAGCTTTCCCCTCCCCCCCCGCTTCAGTAGTTTGCTTGTGAACCAGAGCATATTCATTTACTAGCTGGTTCCTATTATTAACAGGAAAGATTCATTTTAAAACAGAAAGCATACTCAATTTACCTTATTTTTGACTGTCCCTTATTGTCTCTGAATCACACAGGTTCCATAGTGGAATGTCTTTCAAAGACAAAACTTCAGTAGTATGGAAATAAGAATGGACTGGGTGTTGCTCATCACCTGTGATTTTACAAAGTTTCTTGAAATGGTTTGTCATGCATGAAAGCAAGCTGAGTGTCACAAGAGCCAAGGTGGTAGAAAGTGACAGAATAATGAATTATATTTGCTATTTTTACACTTTTTTAATACTGTTGCTTTTATCCATTTGAAACAAACACAGCTTTGTGTTTGTGTTTCTCTAAATCAGATAAAAAATTACAAAGAAGCCTATGCTAGAAGAGGGCATCCAGATCGCTTTTTACCACAAAAAGGTTCTGCAAGACCAAGGTCAACCAGATAAAGAGGAAGCTAGAAGAAATATTCAAACTTTAAAACCAAAGTTGAAGACTCAATGTGAATACTTTTTAATGAGCATTGAACATTTTCCATTGTCTAAACAGTCAAGTAGTAGTTCAGGTGTCAAAGCTATTTGACTAATTTTAAGAGATGATCAAATTTCATGATCTGTCTTAAGTGACAAGTCAGAGTAAATTACTGACTATGAAATCCTGTTAATGAAATTAAGGAACTTAAGTCAAACCTAAATCTCTGAAGTGTTCATGTTCTTGGATATCAGAAACAAACACCTGAAAATTCCTGTTTACTTCTAACAGTCTGCTGACACCTCTGTTTTGGCATTTGTACTCTTTCTCCACTTCCAGTCGAGACGTGGGGGAATAAAAGCTTCTAATCACATACAGCTTTTATGTCACAACTTCTAGTAGTGGGCTTTTCCCCCCCACCTTTGATTCCCATTTAAATGGACTTCTAAATCATAATGTGATAAATCTATCACTGATGTAATTACTCCTTATCCATTATTCCAGCTGTGAAAGAGTGAATGACAGCTATAGACTATTTTCCTCGAAATAATTTCAGCCTAACTTGAGGGGATATTTGAGAATGTATGTTAAGAATATTCTTTAATTTTTTACACATTAGAAAAATTTTATGCGCGTCTTGGCCTACTGCCCAAAATCTCAGTTGAGGAAGAAAAGACTCTATATATTGCACATTCACTAGATTCAGAGGGAGCATACATCCTGATATTTAACTTCCATGTCAAGCAATAAAGGTAGAAAAAACTTTCAAGATAGCCAAACTTTTATATCAGGTATTTAGTTCTGTTCCTTAGATTAAAATAATTTAAAGTAGTAAAACCTATTTTGAATTCACATTGGAAGTTCTATTTAATCTTACACTGAGAAATAATTTTTCCCAACGTTTTTTAATTCAAACTTTTTTTTTTTTTAAGCTATGTCCAGCAGTCATAAACTTGGGAAGGAATTAAAAATAAAAGTTAAGTCAGCACAGCATTGCTATTGGAGGGCTTGCCTCCATTTTATTTCAAGCTATCTGAAATACCGAGGTTGATCTCAGAAGCAGAACTGAGAAGGCTCATTCTTGGAAACCACACATTTCTTCACTATTTGAAGAAATCATGATGTCCAAAGCAAAACATACATGTCTTGGTTTTTAATTTTGAAGGACACAGACATCTTCTGTATTAAGAAGCAATGGTGCTAGCCCACAAAGCACAAATTACCACTTTCAATTTCTTGATTTTCTACCTGTTCTTCACATTTAATGTTGCTCAAGACTGGACAAGACAGATCCATGGAAACATGGCTTGGAAGAGCAGAACCTTATCGGATTATTACTTTACTCCGAATGAACTAAAATAACATACATCTGCTGCTGCATGTGCTAGTTTATCTGAGGAGAATACGAAATCCGATTGGGAAAGATTTCAAGCATGGAGAGACATTTATGGAGCTTGAATGGACTGATGTCTTACTGGACTGACTGTTATTCCCCAGTTTATCATTGATTTCATACTAAATTTAATGTACCCCAGTGTTATTCCCCTTTGTCCCTCAGATTTTCCCGCCAAAAGTTGTTTACTCCCCTGTTCTCCCCTGGCTTTCCCGCTCCTCTGTCACTGATTGGCTGAGAGTTGCCGCAGTGCAGAGTGAGGCCCCATTGGTCCCTTCCCCTGGATACCCACAAGTCACACCCACCTTTCCCCTCTCTCCCAATCCTGTCTCACCCTTGGTTGTCAGTCCCATGCACCTCCCCAGTTATGAATCCTCCCCTCACCCTTACCCTATATAAGTCCCTGTGTTCTCTTAATAAATCGGCATTGCACCCAGACCCTCAGCTGCGTCTGAACCCTTTTGTGCGGTGCCGCGTCCCTACTCCTTTTCCCCTCGGGCCATGGCATTTATCCCTTCAGAAAGTGTAAAAAGGTTCTTAAGTGGGACACTGCCTTTTACTTATCAAATATTACTTTCTTTGGTGAGGGAATTTCATGTTTACTAGCAGTAAGAATACTGCCAGACATGGCAAAACAGAACACTTTTAGATGACGTGTAAGTATCAATACCTCTTTCACTGTCTGTACACTGGAAATACACATTCATTATGTGTTAAAGTGTCTAGTTCAATTCTATTTCTTTTATTCTAATTTTTTCTTACTGTAGAAGGATAAAATCTTAAGGTGTTTATTATAATTCTGAAGCAGCTAAAATAAAATTTATCTTCTAGTTTTCTGCACAAAAGCATGAACCAGGAGACTTTCCACACAACAGTTACTGTTTTAGTTCTCAGCTGTTTTTATCATAACTGACTAGCTGCAGCTCTCCACTGCACCAACAAGCACAAAAAGGTTAAAGCAAACTCTTACTTGCAAATCAGTAACCAAAAGACAGCAGGACAACACTGCTGAATAAAAAAGCAAACTTAGAATTTAATGGCAAAATTAGACAAGAGACATGAGAACATTGCAAAAAGAAAGAAATCCCACACAGAAAAGTTTAGGATACTTTATATTTCAAGTGAAGACAGCCTAACAGAACAAAATTTCATTGCTTATAAAAGGAAAATTATTTTTAGAGGTATTTTCAAGATTCAGATTTAAGGCTCAATAAAAACAAATGTCTTTGGAAAGACCAAACCTGGTAGTCAATAAAATTTATGGCAACATATATTTTTTAGAAGATATTTTATTGCTAACAAATACAAAATTGTTGCTCTCATTCCCTGATGTCTCATTTTAAAGATAAAGCTTTTTCTTCACCACTTTTAAAGACCTGTAAATACAGCACTGTAAAAAATGGAAACAAACAGAAAGAAAAATTGTGACAATAAATTATGAAAAAGAAAATGCAAGAAGAAAAGCCCAACCTATCAAGGAGAAAATGCATTAGAAGCAATGGAAAAGTTATGCAGTAGCATTGAAGTATCATATTATGTTCTCCTTCCAAGAGAACTCTGGGGCTTTTGCACATGAAATAAAACAGCAGCAAAGAAAAAGGATAAGTACAAGTGCATTTGTGTCCCACTGGAACTTCTCCTTATTAACCAAAACAGTAGTACTCATCAGAATCAATTTTGGGATGCTTATGAAGAGGCTGTGGGTCCTCTGTAACAGAAGAATCACTGAACTTGTCCATATCTGAAGGGCTTTGGTGACCAGGGACATCATCCACTAAGGTGTCCAAATAACTCCCTACTGATATTCCATCCAGTCCATCACTACAGTCTTGTAAACTGTTACAGCTGTCATGGAGGGATGTCTCCTGACTTTCCAGCAAGCTGCACAGGCTGCCGCTCAAACTGCTGCCTCTACTGGCAATGGCCTTCTCTTCAATCATCCACTTGATTGATTCAATACTTTCATTGATGATAAGGAGCTGGCGCATAAGTTTCACATCAGTGGCTCGGAGATTAACCTATAATGCAAAAAGGATTAAAAAAATTACTCTTTTTTCTTCACAATCAAACCAAATAGCAGGCTGGTGGCAAAGAATGGGTTAAAAGAAAACACATTAAAAAATCCAGCCAATCAAGAGCCAACCTACTTAAATACAAGTAAAAAAAAAATATATATATATTGCTATACTAATGCTTTCAATGAAGGTCAAGTGGGAACCTAATCAGGCTACCTAAGCAGTCCATTAATGGGAACACTAGTCAATGACAATATTTATACACACACTGGTATGACGCTATTTAGATGAGAAACACAGCTAATATGACAACACTTGGGGACAGCTTTTCACTAATCAGAGAAGCAAGACACCAAGCTGTTTCTATTTGCAATTACTCCAAGCTACTTGCAGCTACAGGCATCTAAGCATTCACCCAAAGTTATCTTTATTGGGCAACCTAAAATTTTCAGATGTGCATCATTTGGAAAAAAGCTTGTGGACATTCAACTTTTACTCACATTACTCCTGCGTTGATGTTATTATCTGCTGTATAAATGTCTGACTGTTAAAATACTGAACTTATTGAAAATATAAATTTCAATTATTTAAACCTATATTAGAGGAAGGTGATGAGTTCACAGTCAAAAGAGCAACAATTTGCAATAAATAACTAAATAAAAAAATGGACATTAAGTACCAACTCCTACTTTCCCACTTAATTGTGGTGGTCGATGCATACACACAGAAGTGTTAATGGCAATGCACAGTGGAACATTGTGGTGTTGCATTTCACAGACAAACTTGAGTTAATCAACTTCATGTTTTCCTTAATAGGCTAACTATATAAACCAATTTATAAGCAAGCCACTTCAGAAGCCACTTCAGATGACAAATAAAGGTGAGGCCTAAGGGTTATATTCATTGCTGCTTTCTCTTAATCTGAAATATAACAAGTATTGGAAAAAAAATCTATGACACCTTTGAACATCTTCACTCAATTGAGATATAAAGAAAAACACAAGTAAGATCTGTTACATCAGACAATAGATATTTTATGATATTCTCCATGTTGACAACTGTTATACAGAAAAATAGTACCCGTATTGTTCATACACAATGGACTGGAACGGAATCTGTATTCTCAGGAAGCAGAGACTATATCTTGTTTTGCTGAGAGTACAATCTGAACATAGTTCTTTCCATACTCAAATGTCATATTCTCAGTACCCTAATTACATTGACCTGGTGTAGTTGTTCAAAAAGCTATTTTAATGTATTTCTATTTTGCTAGATACTGCAGAAGATTGTACTGGCTGTAGCTGGGATGCTTCCTAGCAGCCAGTGTGATGCTGTGCTCTGTATCTGTGACTAAATTAATGTTGGTAGCACACCAGTGTTTCAGCTGTTGTCGAGCAGTGACTGCACAGCACCAAGGCCTTTTCTGTTTTTCACTCTGCACCCTCAGTGAGTAGACTGGGACAGAGAAAGATGTTTG